TCAAATGGAGACTGCAGCCCAGAAATCAAAAGAAAACTGAGGCTAGGAAGAGCAACAATGAATGAAATAGAAAAGATCAAGGGTAAGAATGTGATCAACATCCACACTGAAGACTAAGACCATCCACAGTTTGTATCATCATGTATGGGTGTTAATGTACTGTATCTTAAAGTTGAACACTTAAGAAAGCTGACAGGAAAAAAACTGGTATGTTTAAAAAGTGGTGTGGTGGAGTACTTTGCAGATACAGTGGACCCTCGACTTACAGACGGCTCGACTTACAGACTTTTCGAGTTACAGACGTCTCTTGCTGCAAAATTTAGATTCGACTTGCAGCTGGAGAATCGACTTACAGACCAGAAAAAAACCAAAATGGAACAAAAATAGAATAAAAACCGCTGGTTATGGGATTAATCGGTTTTCAATGCATTGTAGGTCAATGGAGATTCGACCTATAGACTTTTCGACTTGAAGCCACCATTCCAATACGGATTAATTCCTTAAGTAGAGGGTCCACTGTACCCTAGACTGCCAGAAAGATAAACAAGTGGCTCCTAGGACAAATCAAGCCAGATCTATTTCTGAAGGCAAACATGTTGAAACTGAGGCTATCCTACTTTGGGCACATAATCAGAAGCAAGATTCTCCAGAAAAAAAACAATAATTTTGGGAAAGGTTGAAGGCAAAGCAAAAAGAGAAAGACCAAATACTTTCAGATGGACTGACTCCCTAAAAAAACCCTCATAACTTTGAGTTTACAAGAGCTAAGCAGAACAGTTGAAGACAGAACTCATTCATAGGGTTGCCATAAGTCATAGGTGACTTGACAGAACACAACATTATCAACAAAGTTGAAAATACTTCTATTCCTGATGGCTAATAGGCACATAGTATTTACTGTAATATAACATGATATTACATTTTTTAATTCAATAACAAATAAAGAAGCCATTTACTGCCACTATAACAAAATACTTCAACTCAAATTTCTTGTCAACAGGATAAAACACAGCACTCTTTCCAGATGTAATTTTTAAAAATAATTACTTCCACTGCTTTTAGGGTTATCCAAGCTGCCAGAATGGGGCAGTTGTTGGTTTCAGCACTACTCACAGCACTACTCACAGCACTACTACTTCTTCATGGATTGCTGCCTTGTCAGACAGCAGTAGCACATAAATACAAAAAAACATGCAAAAGAAAATGAAATTATTTGCATCTGAACACAAAATAGACATTTCCAATGCAATTTCTGCTCACCAAGACTATTTAATCAAGTTTTAGAAGATGAAAGTGAAAGTACATAGGTGCCTTGACTTACAAACACTTTGACCTACAAACATTTTGACTTACAAACAGCTCCATCCACAAAATTTTGCTTTGACTTGTTAACGGAACTGACTTATGAAAAGAAAAAAGCAGGGGAAGAGGGCAGGAAATTCAAATAGCTAACTGTAGGTGGCAACGAGGCTGCTTCTTTGTAGCTCTTTCGCCCTGGCAGTTAGAGTGTGTGGGATTCGAGAAGGTTGCCTGCTAAGGTAAGGTGCTGCTTTATATGTACTGTACTTCTTAAAAACTGCTCTGGGTATTTTTGCAGCATGATTTTCGGCTGGGGGGTGGTTATGTTTCCATGCTGTGATGGGTCTTGGAGGGGTTTGTTTGTTTTTTGGTTGGTTCCTTTTTGGAGGTTTTTTTCCCCCATTTCTGATGGGTCTTGTGGAATTTGTTTTTGTTTCTCCCCCATTTCTGATGGGTCTTGGGGGGTTTGGTTGCTTTTGGGGGGTTTCCCCCATTTTCGATGTGTCTTGCATGCTTTTTTGCTTTGTTCTCTTTGCATTTCTCATCTCTTGTTTGTTTTTGCAATGGTTCCTGCATGCTTCCCTTGCTTTTTGCCTTGTGCATTTCTGATCTGCATTTGTTTTCTGTGCATTTGCAATAGTTCTTGCATGCCTCCCTTGCTTTTTGCTCTGATCGATCTTGCAGACCCTTTATGCAAGGGTCTGTGCTGGCTGGCTTGCTCTAAAATGGAGATCAGACTCAAGTATCCCCCATTGTCTTTTCTCTGTGTCTTCTCCTTTTTGTGCTTAAAAGCACAAATCGAGTCCACCATTCTATCTACTATACCATCACACTGGGTATCAGTCTACATTTTATAAATGCTTTCTCTCTCTCTATGCTCCCCCCCCCATGCTGAGGGGGTCTGTTTGCTGGAATAATGGTTGCTGGATTCTGTGGCTCCTAGGGTTTGTGTACTGTGGTGTGACCTCTCTTTTGTTTTAAAAGGTGTTGGTGGGTGGGTTTAAAAGGTGTTTGGTTTTAAATTGTGTTTTGTTTAAATGGTGTTTGGTTTAAAATGTGTTGTAAAATGTGTGGGTTTAAAGTGTGTTTTAGACTTAAAACTCTCCCCTCCCCCAAATCGTCTTCTCTCTCTGTCTTCTCTCTTTTTGTCCAAATCGTCTTCTCTCTTTTTGTCTTTAAAAGCACAAACCTCTGTCTGAGGGGTCTGTGTGCTCTGATGATAACCTTTTTTCTTTCGTTCCTCTTTTCCCCATTGTTCCCTCCCTCCCTCCTTTCCTGCTTTTTTTTTAAACCCAAGTTCATCTTAGGTTAAAAGAAGAAAAATTCTCCCCCTAGTGGTAGAGGACGGATTAACCTGTTTTGCATTAGTTCCTATGGGAATTAATGCTTTGACTTACAAACCGTGCCTTGACATAAGAACAAAAACCAGCAGGAACAAATTAATCTGGTTTCAATGCATTCCTATGGGAAATGCTGTTTTGACTTAAGAACAACTTCTAGGACGTATTAAGTTCGTAAGTCAAGACATCGCTGTACAAAACCACATAACTCAAGATCTATATTGGGCCACTATTTTTATGAGACAACTACAGTATCACAATATGGTGTGCAAGATGATTGTGTGCATGACTGATACAGAACCTTTCATCAGGATAAATGATATGGGGCAAAATCCTGTTGCATAACTTTGTGTCGGTATAGCCCAGATCAAACAGTGAACGCATTTAATTTAACGTAATTAAAGTTTACTCTCCTCCCCACGGTGCTTAATATAAAAAGAGCCAGTATAGCTATAGGCAAGCTTTACAGCCTCAAGGTGCCAAAGAAGGGAATGGGAAACCACTTCTGAGTTCTCTTCATCTTGAAAACCCGGAAATAGTTGCCATAAGTTGGAACTGACTTGACAGCACATCTTTCTGTTTTAGGTTCTGACATTTCCTAAGGCTCTGTTTCACCTTGCAGAAGCCTCTGGGAGCCTCACGATTTGGTGGTAGGGGCAGTCTTTACAGCTAAAAATCAGGGATTGGGACCGTCCACAGTTATCCAGTAACAATTTTTATTATTATTAAAAAGCTCCCCTTTCCCAGTCTTGAGGCTCCCAAAGGCTTCTCCAGGGCATAAGGGAGCCCAAGAGAGAGCACCAGAACCTAAAAGGAAGAGTATTTTGAAACTTAGTCTGGGTTACCCCATGTGAAATCACACCAACAAGACTCTGCCCATAGCAAGTACGAGAGATGGCAAAAGCCAGATGTAGCCTCTCTTGTTCCAGTTTTGAGATGAAAACTAGAAGAAAGCAACAGACATTCAATAGTTTTTTTAAAGTGTTGTAATTATTACTTAGCACCTCAAACCCACCCCTTCGATTGCTGAGATAAACAAATAAACAATGTTGATTTTAAAGTTAGAAACTGTTGTCTTCTCTCACAGTTTATTGCCATTTTATTTACTCAAGTCCACTTACACTTATTTGTTCATATCAAAATGATCTACTATCGAATTTCTTATTGTAATATCTTGGTGCTACTCGTTTGTCCTCCCAAAGCAGTCAGCAAAAAGAGAACTAAAGGTGCCATTATACTACAGACATATGCCAGAACTGGCAATTTGCCACTACAATCATGTTTGAAAAGTATGATGTTAAGTTCAGGAGGTAACGGAAGGGATAGGATGGAGCCATAGCCTTTACTTCTCAAGGATTAAAATAACAACCAAACCTTTAAAGACATACTATAAAGAATAAGCAATAGTGAAAGCCTGAGTTATAAACTTGATTCGGCTAGAAATGGTCATAAATAGGTTGCTTTCTACTTTCAAGAAAATCTAATATAAGCAAGAGCGTTCACAGCAGCCAGTCATTCTGCAGTGATTGCCAAAAGGTGCTGACAAGCACAAAGCTGCTGCAGAATTAGAGAAAGAGAAATTTCTATATGATAAATTAACTTCATTTATCATATAGTGATTTATATAAGCTCTTCAATACATTATAGATATTGTGAAAGCACAAAACCCAGGCATTTGTAGGTTTAGGAGAAAAACCATGATGATCTAAGCAAGATGTATAAGGCTGGGACACACAGGCACCCCACGGGCAATCCACTTTTTAAAGCACCCTCTTATTAAACACTTTGAAATGCACTGGGATGTTATTCCCCCACGCGTTGGAGTGACTAACTTCCTGTTTATGTTTTTACAGACCTTAAGGTGTAACAGCTATTGCCAAGAAAGAAACTTCGATGGCAAAATACAACAAAAATGGTTACTTTTCCAGTGAGGTCTCCCCTCCCCCCCCCCGGTTGACTAGTACCACAGACTATTCGTCGCTGCTGTTCTTGAACCGTCTTTGGAAAGGAATCTACCCACAGCTGCATAGCCTACAAGGGAGGCTCTCGCGGAGAAGAAACATGCGCTCCTCCGACCAACGCCTCCTCAGGGTCGCAGCTGCGAGCTCAACGGCGGCCTAGGTGTGGCCACGCGACGACAAACCTTCCATGAAGCACCAGCGTTTCCCCCTCCCCCTCCCCAATAGCCCCGCCGCCATCCCACGTCCCATAGAAGCCTCAGGCCAAAGTGCTCCCGCGCCTCTCAGCCAACGTGAACCCTACGAAGCCCCGGAGGGGCCGAGTTTCCGTTGGACCCGGACGGATGGTTCCCTCTCGCTACGCTCTACCCACCCACCCGCTCCTCACGCCCGAGACCAGCACCTGGAACTGAAGCAGCTTCTCCGTCTGCTCTGCCGACAAATCCCGCTCCTCCGGAGCCGCCATCTTCCAGCCGCCTCTGACCCGCGGCTGCGTCACCGCACGGACGTGACGCGACAATTCGACACTTCCGTCTACGCTCTCCCTGCACGTGATGTCAGCGGCCAGTTGGATTCATAGAGGTCAATAAAATATTAAACGTATAATAACTTCCGTTGTGTTCGAGGAGAGTTTTCGGGTTCCCTTTGACACTTTCCGCCCCCGCCCGCCCGCTTATTGGACGGAAGCAATAACCAACAATGAAACTGGGGGGCAAATCCATGATTTAGGCATAGCTATGATTGAGTAATCATTCAGGAGTTAAACAGAAAAGGAACAAACAAAATATAGTATCATTCGTTCTTCCGCTAGAGAAAAAGGTCTTATTTTGGATTAGAGAGGTGGTTGAGGGGTTTTCAAGTTCTAAAAATCATTTTAACTTGTCCTATCAATGCCCTTAATTATTGCCATATCACAGGTCGGAGGATCTGAGAAGCAGTAGCCTTCGTCAGCCTTGAATACGGCCCATGAGTTGCCGTGTTAAGAGGAATGTTACGACTTCCTTTCCCAAAAATCTCTTAGATCATCCCGGTCGTCTGCAGAAGGCTACAAACAGGTCATGCTTTGGAAGCTGGCTTCTGGTTTCTTTTGGGGTTTCGATTTTGTAATATTAAGAGAAGTAGGAACACAGGTATACTTGTGTGTCAGTGAAGAAATGAGAAGGCGGGCCTCTATTTACATGTGCAGTACAATCAGATCCGCTTTTAGTATAACCACTTGTGTTTTTGACGTGTAACTCTTGCTTGTGTCTGGCAGTCGGTCACGTTGCCTGGGCCGGATGGGAGCAGACCTCTGCCTGAGGGATAATTTAGGAGGTTATTAATTAGGGCTGCGGTCCTATATTGACTTACCTGAGGGTAAGTCCCTTGGAACTCCTACAAGCAGCCCTTGCTAAGAAAATGCAGTCTTCACACAAAGTTGCTGACAGACTGCTATTTCTTAGCATTCGATTCTGATATGAGACATAAAAGATGTTAATGGCTGAGGCTCCAGTACTCTGGCCATCTCACGAGAAGAGAAGACTCCCTGGAAAAGACCCAGATGTTGGGAAAGTGTGAAGGCAAGAGGAGAAGGGGACAACAGAGGATGAGATGGCTGGACAGTGTCATCGAAGCTACCAAAATGAATTTAACCAAACTCTGGGAGGCAGTGGAAGACAGGAGGGCCTGGCATGCTCTGGTCCATGGGGTCACAAAGAGTCAGACACGACTAAACAACAAAGTTTATATTTGTGGAGGTCATTTATAACACATCTTGTGGTGTTTTTTCAGCCAGCTGCAAAGCCTCAAACCTCAGTTAAATGAGAAGATAGCCAAATGAGTTAACAGTACTGTACATGGTGGAATGGAATCAAATGTGTCATTCTCCTTGGGCCTGGCGAATGTATTGATAACTACATTAATATGTTTTATTTTGCTTTCTTTTGCGTCTCTTGCAGTTAATAAATACCCAGAGAAACTTACAGAATGGCACCAAATGAGGCTCCATGATTTTTCTAAAGCCATGTTAGAAAATCTTTTCTGATACTGCTGATAAGATGGCAGGATCCTTGTACAGTATTGCAAAGTAGGCCACCACAAGAGGTCAGTAACTACTGATTGCTATTTCATCATGGCTGTATCCAGCAGTGCCTTTTAAGAACCATGATGTGGTTGGTATACATTGGGCTTCTGTTTACATGAGCAGATTTTGCTACTAGGGCAAGGAGTTATAATCCAAGACTGACTAACCAAGCTCTGGGAAATTATTTGTCCTGCAGCCCTTAATTTTACACACAGTTGAAGCAGCAAATATATTTGAATGCTTAGAAAAATAGTTAAGCAACCATAAAAAAACCAATTTCTCTGTTAGTTCTTTTTTTCATAAAACAGAGGCACAACAGATTAAAATCTAAAACCTACAAATGGGTAGTATTTTTATTAGAACCAATCCAAATATCACAAAGGGATGTGTGCATGTTTTTGAGTTCTCTAGACTACATTGTACAGAAAGCCGAAGATGATGCAGTGCCTGGGTTAAACAAGTTGAAGCAATGAGTGAGATGTTGTAGCCATGAGTCTTTATTTTAATATTTTTAGGCAATCCAATGCATATAGCATATTTATTCGCTATGTCAAAGTACCCCCCCACACACCATAGGAGGGGGTATTAATGAATTTATGATTAATAGCCATCAACAACCCCATCCTTCATGAATGTATCTAATTCTCCTTTAAGACTATTTAAGTTGATGGCAATCTTGTTTCTGCAAATTCCATATTTTTACTTCAGGCTGTGTGAAAAACTATTTTATTTCATTTATCTTGAATTTCCCATTACATTTCCCTTTTCTGGCATCCAATCTTGTGTTCTAAGAACCATTGCTCAGCTCTGTGGATTTGCAGGCAACTGTTTGAACTCTTATAAAACAAAATACACAAACTAATCTGAGAGTGATCAAAGCCTCAGAGCCTGAAATTGGCAAATTCTCATTAGCATTAGAGATTTTTGCAGTGCCTTGCCCAGATTTACAAATAATTATTAGTTTCCATTTCTAGGACTGCTTCACCCAGAGCTAAAAAGAACTCACACACCCCATGATATTTTTCACTTTCTACTTATATGTTTGTGTATTTGTACTTGAACAGTTTTTTACTTATGACTTAAACCATCCAGAATATTGTGTTGCACTAATGGGGCAGTATAGAAATCAAATCAATCAATCAATCAGTATTCTACAAATGTGTATTTTCCAGTCAAGGAAAAACATAAGAGACCCTAGAAGGATAGAACAGATAGGTACACTGACCAGGTGACTCTTTCTAGAGGCAACATTCTACACATGGTTGCCTCCATCATGAAGGCCTTCTCCTGAGCTGGAACTTGCCACACTTGAGTTGAAAAACACTTGGAGCAGAGTTTTCAGTGTTAACTTCATAATCGAGATAGGCTGATACTTCAAGCATAGATTAGGAGTCTAGCACCACCCGTTAACAGTCAATGGATTACTGACTGTTGGAGTTGACTCTTACAGGTCCAAAGGCTTTCCCACTTCTGAGGTACAGGAAGGGAGCAGGCTTCAGATAGAATAGTGGGGCCACATTTATTCTTTCACCTGAAACAAGGCTATGGCATGAGTTGTTGAAGTTGTGCACTCTCAGGATGTCTCTTTCAGCTTCATGCACTGGCATTCACAGAAATGTGATAGTTTGCTGCCTCATGGAGGAGCCTGACACTGTTTTTCTGCACTGCTATCTGGGTCTTAACCTCAGATTGTTCTGCGCCAAAGAGTGAGATATGGTGCACACCAGGATTTCTGGCTATTGAATGCATACTCAAAGCAGAAGATTAATGGAAGGGGAGGCAGATGCTGAGTCATTTGTCCCATTCCATCATCAACCCTCTTGCTCAGCCTTTTCTTAGAATTGATTCAAAAGTTTGTTTTGTTTTTAAAATTCTACAGCAAGCAGATGACATAAGCAACACAGATGAGACAACTGGTAGAGCAATGTTCAAGAGAGAAACTATTGTTATTCCCTTCCACTAGCACATTTCAAGAAGCCAGCAAGATCTCTAGCTTGTGCTCTATGTAGTACTCCAGCCAGAAAGGGTCACAGAAAGTCTAGAAACTGACTAAAGAAATTGCCAGAGACCAAAGAGATGTTTGAGCAACATAAGAGTAATTGACACATCACTTAAATCCATGTGATTGATAACACATATAATTTAAGAGTATATTAATTATAGTCTTGCGTGGCCTTTAAAAAGAAAACAATGTACTGATGTATACATCTATTGACATGTTTTAAGGCTGCAATGTTGTACCTACTTACCTGGGAGTAAATCCCATTGAAGTCAATGGGATTTATTTGTGAGTACCTGTAGGATCTCTTAATAGGCACTACTAATCTGGGCTCAGTGACCCTGAATATGCACATAAGCTTAATATTCTTAAGTGTAAGTGCCTTATGAATGATATGAGATCCTTAAGATGTTCTTAATCCTAACAACTAGGAGGCAGGAGGTTAAGCCTGGGGAGTATGTCACCCTCCAGATGTCTCATAGACCCTCTACATTAGTTATGTTGGCTGCAGCTCAACAATGCAGGGCCAGACATTTCCTATCCCTGTATTAGGTAGGCGATCCACAGCAGATGGTTATCCTTAAAGGCTGTGATTTCTTATGCCACAACTTTTCCTGAACTAGAACATATTCCCCAATTCTGCAACAAGAAAATGTATTTTTGAGTAATAGAAAATTAAGCATGTTTGCTTACAACTGAAAAATCCTTCTCTCTTTCCATTTCTCGCAAACATCCATTTTTAGGAATGGTAACTACTTTCCCTCCCAAAATGCTGAGTTCTGAATTCAAAACTGTTTTCGGCTTGCATGACATTATCAAAATCTGGGCCAGGTCTACCATTAGGAAAGCTATTTAACTTGCATTAAGTTATTTTAATATGACTTAAGTTATTTTCATGTACTTTTATTTATTGTACCCTGCTCTGAGCTTTGTTTATAGGGGGCAGGTTAGAAACAGTTCAATAAACAAATAAAGGCTAAGCAACTGCCTCAAATGGCATATACTGGGGAGCTGTAGCAGTACCCTGTGCATTTCCTTTGAGCCCTCTGGCCACTTCTGGGCCACAGGGCTTGTTCTATAACTCCTATACAGTACAGTACTTTCAAACTGCTGGATAGCTCAGTGATTTAGGTATCTAGCTGTGGAGCTAGAGACTGGGAGTTCAATTCCTCATTGTGTTTCTTTGACAGGGGCTGGACCATAGGATCCCTTCCAGTGCCACAGTTTGATGACTGACTGATTTAAAATATTTTTACCCCACCTTTCTCCTTAAAAATGTGGCTCACATCACTGAAAGGCAATAGTTGAAAACAATGAGTGGTTTACATCATTAAAAGAAAATATTTAAAGCTAAGAACAGTGAGTATAAAGAGGAAGCTTGCCTCATTAAAAGCCAATATTAAAGCTAAAACAAGTATACACATATTAAGAAGGAACAAACAAATACAACTCTGAGAGTTGGCAAACATAATACTAAAGCATAGTAAAAGCAGTAATGCATCCATCTCAAAGTCACACTCAGGGTCCAGTCATTGAGACAAAGTTTGCCTTAAGAGAAAGGTCTTCGCTTTGGGAAGGACAGCAAAGACCGGCCAGCCTGGCCTCCTGTGGGAGGGAGTTCCAAAGTCTGGCAGCAGCAACAGAGATAATGACGATGACTATTGCTACTGTATCATTATTTATCTCATTTCCGGGGGAGAACACTGTCCCCTCCTCAATGTTTTCCTAAAATCCCCTGTTGGCTTCTGTCCCTAGAGTCGGAGAGAGAGGGCGCCCCTTCTCCCTTGGGTAGCAGAGCGGCTTGGGCTGCGTCGGCCCAAGGGAGCGGGGCCAGGCCCACCGGGACACGCCATCGCAGCCCACCGCCGGGACTACTAATGACAGCCGGCGGGCAACACACAAGCAAGGCCCCAGCGCGGAACCGCCCTGACCTCCGGCGCCGGTTATGGCCTCCTCCGGCTCGCCCCACGGCCCAAGCGAGAGGCAGGCCGGTGGCTCCCCCTAGCGGCTCCCGGGGGGCGCCCGCGCTCGGCAGCCTGTGCGAAGAGGGCGCCTCCTCCTCCTCCTCCCTTCGCCTTTGCCGGAGATCGCCTCGGAGGCTCCTCCTGTCGCCGCCGTGACCGCCGCCGCCTCCGAGCCCGCGGTTCCCTCTTTGTGGCGGATCGGCGACGGCGGCAGCAGCAGCAGCAGGAGCCCGCGGGGACCGGAGGCGCCCATCCCTGAGCGACGGGGAGGCCCGGGAAGGAGGAGGAGGAGGAGGAAGAGGCGAGGTAGAAGACCCGAGCGCCCAACATGGCTGATGATTTTGGCTTTTTCTCCTCCTCGGAGAGCGGGGCCGCCGAGGCCGCCGAAGAGGACCCGGCCGCCGCTTTCCTGGCTCAGCAGGAGAGCGAGATTGCGGGCATCGAGAACGACGAGGGCTTCGGCACGGCCGACGGGGCCGCGGGAGGCGTCAGCCTGGAGGCGGGCGATGCCTCGGGTGAGTGAGTGAGTGAGTGAGTGAGCGAGGGAGGGTGGAGGGCAAAACACACACACACACACACACACACACACACACACACACACACACCCCCCCCTCCCCGCCTCCTGGGGAG